ACTGTCTTCTGCAATGTAAGAGAAATAGACCGGTACCGGCCCACAGTTCGCAGACTGTCTTCTGCAATGTGAGAGAAATGTGGCCCGGTAGGCCGGTACTGGGCTTGCGTCCACGAACAGGCCATGCCATCCTACTGTCAGGATCCAGGTCATTTTATCCCTCCATCTCTCTCTCTCTCTCTCTTTCTCTTCCTCTTTTTGAATGATGATGCGTCCGAATGATTGTCCCTCTCTTGAATGGGAGTGAGTTTGCATCTTGTTTCTATGTGACAGAACTTCTTCCGGAACTCTTTCATTAGTTTCCTGGGTAATCCCCTCACGCAAGGACCCTGTCTTTTTGTCTTGTGAACGGTGGATGTGTGTGTACTGTGCAATGCGATCTATCCTTTCCTGTGCATGTCTCATTTTCGCACCTTCCATAGTGGATGCATGCATGGAGACGTGTGACTCTCTTTGATAAGACGATCATCGTCGGGATTTTGTCCGAGAATGCAAGAGTGTTTAGATCTGTAGCTCTGAGTGCACTGCGCATGTCATCTGCCTTATGCTGTCCGACATCAGTAGCCGGCCCACGAGGCGGCCTCGAGAAACAAGGCGCCAGAAATCAACATCGCGCTGGCTAACTAAAGTTGAGCCGCGATCGGTCCCGTCAGTGCATGCATGATTAAACCGACGAGTGTTTTTTTTCCTTCTTTGGCAGGAAAGGATTGATTGAGGATTATTTCCTCTTCGTGATTGATATATGGACTGACAAGTACCCTCCGATCGGGCGTCAGCCTCCCGTACCTCCTGTACCCACACGACCTTTTCCCTACAACGAGGAAAGGACACGTGTATGCGAGTGGGACGTACGAGAAGCTGTCGCACGGATCGGCGGGCGATACTACTTCCCCCCGGCAAACCGTTGTTCAGGGTTCGTAGAGGCTGGGTTTGTTATTATCGACACACACTTCCCACCCTACTCGATATTGCTCCCCTTTAACGAACTAATCGTTATCCCGTGGACGGCAGTGGCGCCCCATTGGCCTCGAACCCTGTGCACAGAGTGCCAACGTTTCGATCGCTATGAAGCGAAGGGCTTCCACTACCGAATACGGAGTGAGGACGAGCACAAGGAGAGAGCCACGCGTCTGCAACCCTCCTCATCAGACTCGGAACTGACCAACGAACGACGACGGGACTTGATCCGAAAACGAGACACGCGAAGCGTGCCGAAGCCCTTCCGCTCTAAACGACGGGCCGTAGCACGGTGGGAAGCCCGACAATACTTCCTAGATTGAATTTGGATTTTGCTCTCTTCGCGCCTTGTCCACGCGCGCATTCCGCGACGCTCGAAAAGAATCGACTTGCTTCATCGGGCCAACACGGGGGATCTCAGTTCCGTCTGTGTCCCCACAATCAATTTCCAAAAATCCTTGGCACACCCCATCTTGCTGTTTTTCTGGGCCTCTTTCCGCACAATTAACACTCCGAACGAAAGACAGCACGGGGCGTGAGGTTGCGCGTCACACATGCTCACTTTCTTGCTCCCACCACTGTCTCATTTCGATTTTATCGAGTGATTGTTTGCCAGTTTAGTAGAGAGACAGAAAGATGAGGACATCGCTTGAGTGTGTTACTTGGTAGGTAAGAGGATTGCGAAGGATCAGTCATCAGTCACCGGTTGACTTGCAAGCGAACTGAAAAGACACTGAAAAGATCAATCACGGGCTGATATGGTGGGGGGCTCAAAGATATTCATCCTTGGTCTTGCGTCAACATACCAGAAACATGTCACGGCAGAAAGTGGGACTGTGTGAGGGTAACAATTTTGTGGTCTTGACCAACAAAACAAACAAAACAAAGCAAAACAGAACAGAACACTTTCGAGGTCTCACACACATCATACGCTTTTGTCCTTCTGTTGCAGGTACGCTGCATTAGGGAAGACAAGGACACGCTATTTGCTGTACAAAGATGTGAACCGTGATCCACTTCTTCATGTTTGATGAAGGCATATGTGATTGAGTCCATTGGAATGGTTCGATGAGCCATAGAGGGGACGAGCCAAAATACGTCGTTGCGGCATCAGTCACTCGAGGAGGAGCTCGGAGAAGAAGAAGATCAAGACGAAGTTGCTGACAATGATGATGACAACAATATTGCAACGGCTACCCAACCTACTAAATCTTTGAGTGAAATAGCATAACTGATGCCTTTATAAGCATGACAAAGAACAAACAGAAGCAGAAGCAGAAGAAGCAGAAGAAGAAGAAGAAGAAGAAGAAGAAGAGGTGTGGCTGGTGGAGAGAAAAGGGGGAGATGAAAATTGGAAGACTTTATGAGGGGTGCAGCTGAGTTGTGGGTGAGGCGGAGAGGAGTCTGTATAGCTCCGCTTCAGCTGTGCCAATCTATAATAGACCTTACCTGACGGTGCAAGGTTCAAACTTCAGACCTGGTTTCATGGTAGGGTGTGTATTATACTTTTTTTTTTTTTTTTTATACTATTATCTAATATACACTATGGCAGTGCTGAAAAAAAAAATAAAAAAAATGCTACGGTGCTACCCTACCTTGTTTCATGGTAGGGTGTGTATTATACTATTTATCTAATATACAGTGCTGCAAAAAAAAAAAAAAAAAAAAAAGAAGGTGCTACCCCTACCTTGTTTCATGCTAGGGTGTGTATTATTATACTATTTATCTACTATACACTATGGCAGTGCTGAAAAAAAAAAAAGTGATACCCCTGTTCCCATTCTTTTACCCCCTTCCTTTACCCCTTCCTTTTACTGTTGAGAAGTGGAGATACCCACTTTCCAGCAGGTGCCCCTCCCCACCAATAGATGAAGCAGCCCGATAGAGAAATCCTCAATCCTGGCGCTTCTCTGACCACTGCCGGGATAGAGGGTTTACACAAGGGCTAATTCTATTTTTTTTTAAAAAAAAAAGAAAAAAAAAGAAAAAAGAAAAAGAGAAGTGGAGATAGATTTGAATTTGATCATCTAAGTGAGTGAACAGTCCACTGACTCGACTCTACTGAGCTCTACTGGTCTGGTATACATTGAAATTTGAAATATATGTAACTTAAGTTACTTAACCTATAATACCTTTCTCGGCCTTTTGGCTAAGATCAAGTGTAGTATCTGTTCTGATCAGTTTAATATCTGATCCGTGGTCCATCGGACCACACGATATTAAAAAAAGAAAAAAGAAAAAAAAAAAGGTTATTTAACCTATAGGGTAGGAGGACATGAACAACCCGCTTTGAAGCCATGGTTCATTTCCCAGCCGTTTTTTCGAAGTTGTGGCTTGCATGCTAGCACAACTTCTTCTTCTTTTTTTTTTTTTTTTTTTTTTTTTCTTTTTTTTTTCTAGCACAACTTTTTGGGCCTCGGCGGCTGAAGCAAAATGGCTGGCAGCACCAGCCAAAAGCGGGCCCGTCCCGTTTTGGTTTTTTTTTTTAGTGCACAGCGTGTTTCCAGCCCCAGAGAAAAGTGCCTCGGAACTCGGAAGTACTCATGGTTTAAGCACACAGCATCAAAGTCACCTTTTTTTTTGTTTTGTTTTTGAAAAAGAAAGAAAGAAAAAACTTCAAAAAAGAGTATCAAAGTCACCTGCAACTCTGAAAGTTTGAAACTGGTTTGTCCTGGATCCCTACCGGGTGGCCAGTAATCATCCCTGCATCTGGACAGAAAATTCCCCCAAATACGGGCCATAAAAATGACCGGGCGTTAAATTCGGGTGAAGAAGGTAGGCCTGGTTGGCCCGTCAAGCTTTGAAAATTATAACCTACCTTCCTGTTCACTATACACCATCCCCTGCTAGGTAGGTAGATGATGTATACCTTTAGGAAGCTACCCATCTTCCCCCATACACAACACACCCTGATGACGAATGTATACAAGCTATCTTTCAAGTTCTGTGCAGCCAAAATGAGGATGCGTTGTGTTCGGGGGAAGATGGTAGTTATTCCCGCAGCCATTAATGAGGGAAGTACGTTTATGTCACATCACAGTTTGAAATTGGCAACAAAAACAGGCAGCCGCAACTTTGTCATGCCTGAAGTTCAAAAAGGCAGATGTAACTCGGGCCGGCAGTGGAGTCAGGGTTGTAGTTTGTAATAGGCGCTTGTGTTGGTCCGTTCAGTCCGTTCCCAGGTACTACTGTCCCAAATTTCTTCAATTCTGGTACTCTGCCTTTCGGGAAAAAGCCTGTCCCAGGACGGGTTACCTCTCTCTCTCTCTCTCTCTCTCTCTCTCTCTCTCTCTCTCTCTCTCTCTCTCTC